CACACACACACACACACACACACACACAAAGACAATCACATAAATTTATAATTGGTGTTATTTTATTAAACATACATGTACTTGTGTGTATCAATAAAGTACAATTACAATGAAAAAAAATCACCAAACAAATAAACAAACAAACACGCACACGGATTTATGATGGGAGTCGTTTTATGAAGCATACATGTACGTGTGTGTATCAATAGTGTAGAAATGGAGAGAGGAAAACAGAAAACAGAAACAGAAACAAAAAGCAACCAAACAAATAAAAACACACCGGTACACAAATTTGTACCTGGGATCATTTCATAGAACATAGAAATATAATGACACGCACATGTGTGTATTGTGATTCGATTTTTTAAAAATCCCTAGAAGATCATTAAAAAACAGAACAATCAGGACCAAACATACGGGGCTCTCGTGGTCTAGAGGTACGCGTTCGCTTCACATTCAATAGGTCCCAGGTTCGAAACCAGACAGCGCGACGAAAACATTTTAAAACAATTTCTGCAGCCACTCGAAATTAAATGTGAAAACATCGAGCAAGTGTCAGACTATAAGTATTTGGGTGTTACAATAGACAACAAACTCAACTGAGGTGTCCCCACTTCTCTCCTGCATAAAAAAGTGAACAAAAGACTATTTTTTCTAAGAAAGCTAAAGTATTTTAAAATTGATAAAACATTGATGTCCATGTTCTACCATTCAACCATACAAAGCATGATCAATTTTTGTATAACAGCATGGGCCGCGAACACAAGACAACAAGATAAAGAAAAATTAAATCGACTAATATGGAAACTTAACATCGCCACATGGAATGTAAGAACAATGTACCAGAAAGGTAAATTAGATAATATAGAACAGGAAATGGATAGGATGAAGCTAAATATGTTAGGCCTTTCAGAAGTTAGATGGGAGGGGGCAGGCTTGATTAACTCATTCCAGTCGCACCCAAATTTGGCTGAAATCACCCCGTGCCGCACTATTTTGACCATATTTCCACTGACTGTAGGAACAAAATATCTTTCAAAACCCA